TTATTCCAGACTGATAACCTAGGGAATCAAATGCTTTCTGTCCAGCTGATCCCCATGTGTTTAACAGGAGCAGTTTCCCTGTCCCCTTATGTAGGAAATGCACATCTGACTGTTTACAGGAGAGAAATAAAGATTTAGGAATTGTGTTCTGGCAGAAACAGAATGACATTACCAGACAAGCAATGAAGCACATCTCAAGCATCCGTATAATCTCAATTTCAGGTCAAAAATCCACCCAACATTACCAACCTTCAGTTCTGCTGCCTTCACTGTGTCCCCATGGGAAAACACTTCACCAAGGTGATGCTGCTCTGGAGCGGGTTGCCATTACTAATATCGTTTTAGTATCTGACATGAAGGAGGGGAATGAAATGAGATTCCTTTCAGGCCATCTAAATCGGCAATAATCCCATGGGGACTCTTTATAAAGCCAAACTGGGCAGCCAAATGAAGGAAAGGCATGTCCTACCAGGTGGTGGGCTTTGCAACTTGCCACGCGGGGTTGATTAAAACCCTCCTGCCTTGCAGCGAGACCTGCCCACCTGTAACTGTGTGACCAGAAGACAATGTCGACACTCAGAGTACCTTCCATTTGACTCGACCCCAGGGCACAAACTGCAGGAGTGATTCCTCCCCACAGGGGTCTTATTGAAAGAAAAGCGGCACCCTGTTTTGCTGCCATAGGTCCAAACCAGGTATTAAAGAGTTGTTAAAAACATACCACGCACTGCCTTCCTGTTCCTTGGCTCTCAGTTCAAGGACGCTATGCAATAAATAACTACACTTAATTGATGCAGTGTTTGCTTGAACTTAACTGTCAAAACAACCTGACGATTAATCAGATTTCTCACCTCTAACTATATTTTTACATTAGTTGGGAACTTCAATCACTGATAAATTTCTTATTCTATGTCGACTGGAAAATGGAAAAATCTGTTATTCAAACAAGCAAAGTTTTACACATATTACTTTCTTGGTTTATAATATAAACATAGTAGATAATTTAACTAAAACATTATGTATGCAGCAGGGAGCATTAAGTATTTTTACAGTAATCTGATGCACCATTGTAGTAATTATCCTACTATTCAGTGAAATAGAATATTTTCTATTTTAACCCAGCATTCAAACCACATACATTTACATTCTTTTACAAGCTTTTCTGTGCAGTGAAACACACAGGGCATGAAGCTGTGTTAAAAGATGAGGATGCCTGAAAAAAAAAGCCCAGGCTTTCTGTATCTGCCTTTTTTAGAGTACAAAGAAATGTAAAAATACATACTATCAGCTGAAAATAACTCAGACGAAGCACCACATCCTACACATGCTTGAGCCTCTCTGTAAATCCATTGAAATGGGCAACGTTATTTATATTCCTTGTGTGAAAGAGTAAATAGTGTCTGCAGTTAATGAAACTACTCACAGGAGTAACTAGCTAGCAAATTGCCTACAACACCATTGCAAATGCTCTCAAGTTTATACACGAGTCTCACAACGGTCATTGTTTTTCTTAAATTTGGCTAGAATCCATTGATTTTTCTAAGAATCTCAGGTTTCTTATAAAGAAAATAGTAAACTCTTAGCCATTATGGTCCAGACAAAAGCCTGAAAACACAACTTGACTGCACCCTAAAGCTTCCAAAGCCACAGACTAGAGAGGGAAAAACAGGAAGTGAGTATGCATTTATGGTTTAATCTCATTATTTTAAAGCCAGTGTAATGACATTGGGGGGCAGAATAATAATTTTTGAAGCATATGGAATATAAGTAGTGATAATTACACTGAAATACCAAAATCTGCCTTTTGCAATTAAAGATATTTTTAAACAGGGACCCAGAAAATGTTCAGATATTATTTTAAGTGGAAAGCATTCCTTTAAAGTACTGTAGGGTAGTTGCATGATTGACAACACTAAAGAAATACTACAGATTACAAGAAAAATATTTCTTCTCCTCAGGCGTACTCTTTATTCTGATAACAAGTATTACTTCTCACTGACACTATTATGAAAATTAAACTTATGTTGGGGGCTCCTGCATGAGGGTCAATGTTCTTCAGATTAAAAAAACCACAACAGTCTGGGAAAATGAGGGCAAATCCTGAGATCCCCAAGCACACAGCTGGCTGATTTTCCATTTGGGATTTCTTCAGTCCCTGAAGACAAAATAGATTTTTAGCTTTCAGGATGGTTACAGAATTCCTATGGATGTTAGAGGTGATGTCTGCCTCAGTTAGCCTGGGTAACTTTTATTTGCACTCAGGAAAGGTTGATGAAAGCCCTAGTAATTATCCTATCAGGCAGAACACAAGGGAGTAGTCCTCAAAAGCAGCAAGTTTCATGGCACCCAACGTGCTGCGGGACAAGGCACACAGGTTTGTTGCAGCAAGCCCACAAAATTACCTCGGACTCATGTTACTAATGCTCTAGAACCTGACGGTGTGATGAGCTGGAAAGTAAAGATGATGTTTGCTAATGCCTTGCAGATCGCTCTATCTCTGTTAAGACTAATGCCTCAAACCCAACGTTTCCATCTGCATTTTTCTGTCTGCTTCGGAGAGGGAACAGAGGAGAGTTTGAATTAAAACCCTAGTTCGTATGAGGATTTACAAATGAAAAGCTGCAAGTGACAAGCACTGAAAGAGAGGTTTAGTCCTCGTTCAAACGGTGGCTATAAAGCTTGCATCCTACTCTGACCCTGCAGACTTCTCCCTCATTCAGAGAGAGTCAAACACTAAGAAATGGGGGTAGGGAGTTCCAAGGATAGAGAATTCCACAGGAATTTATTTTAACAGCCACTGCTAGATACATAGATACTACAGAAAAAGTACCTAATATAATTTACGTTACACTGGGATATTCCAAACTCAGACAACATTTATTTCTTGTAATGAAAGAGTTCATCAAATTGAAATGAGATTTGAACATAAAACTTAGCAGAAATGGATCAGCTCCTTTGAACTACACAATGGAAAAATAGTAGACAGTGAGATCATTAGTTAGTCCATTGCAATAAGTTGGAAACAGAAGAGATGTCTGGTTCCCTTAAAACTATTTATCGGCAGGTAATTTTTGGTCTGTTTGAAAGCCTTTGCCAAGGCAGCAAGAAGACCAGAACTGATAGAAGGGAAAAATCACTGCTACCTAACTAGCCTAACAGCACAGAGACTTTTGAAGTCATTCATTGATAAAATATCCTGACAACTTCCCACATCTCCCAGGAGCATCACATAAGCAAAATGTCTAGACATAGCACCAGCGATACCACAGAGGTCTCAAGAAAACCACCAGGTATTTTCTTTCAAACTTCTTTAAAAGGATCATTTCTGTTGCACGTCAAACACACGGTTAGATTCCCATGATCACCTAATGGACAATTCTGGGCGTCAGGCAACCTCACAAATTCATGAAAGGGCCAGAAGTCCACAACAGAATTCACACTCAGCTCCCTTAGGAACAAAATCAAGGCAAACATGGGATTCTGCCCATCAGTCCTTTTGAAGTTCCTTCGTGCCAGCAAAATGAAACTGCTTTCATCAGTGCAGGGTCCTTAAACTACCATCAGCTTGCACTCCGGGTGCAAGTTTTTATGTGAACGTTTTTGCACGGACAAACTCACATGTAAAGACGCAGGCAGCGCAAACATGAACAAACATGCAAAGACGAGAGATTATTATTATTTCAGCCCAGACCTCTGCTCATGTCCTCAGAATTCAAAAACTTTGGACTTTAAGAACCCCTCTGACCAAGATATTGGCTAAAAAGCAGTAGGTGGATTTAAGGTGGCAATGGAATGACTGTATCTTCCAGATCAGTTAAGATAAGAAAATTATAAATTAAGTAGCAATGAAAACCTTGTTTCTGCTTTAGAGCACCATTGCCTTATTTCTAAAAACAACTCCCCCACTAAAATGAAGAAATAGAGACCCTCAGCCACAACTGTGTCACTTTTATACGTACGTACTTGGGCCAGTCAAAATGCCCACTGAAGGTAGTGGGATCACACGTGCTGCATCGAGCCCATCACAAAACAGCAGCAGGAAGTGACCAAGGAGGCCCCATCAGTCACTCACCATCCTGCCGACAGCATTCCAGGGCATCCCTCCCAACTTCTGTCTTCAGGGTTCGAGCTGGTGACGAGTACAAGGGAGGCTGCTTTCTGGGAGCTCTAGACTGGCTCTCTGCTTCCAATTGTTTCCGTTCTCCCCTCCTCTACATTTTTTATTTCTTCTATGGGTACAACTGTCTTCACTTCCCACTGATGTCATCGGTCCTGTCGTATATAGGTGTGTTCACAATTCCACCACCTCCACTTAACACTTCATAACTCAATTGCGTTCGGCCCCAAAGCACAGGATGTAGTAGCAACACCAGCAACCTTGTCTAGCAACATGTACTCAGGACGACAGGGAGATTCGATTACATCCACAAAGGAATGTGCCTAACTACTTGCAGACAGATGTATGGCACGGAGTTCCTATGGAGTGATATACCGTACCGAGACCTAAACAAACTCCTGTTTGGTCTTCGTGCCGGTCGGGCTGAAAGCAAGTCTCCCTAATTCCAACCTTGCATCCCTACTGTACGGCACAAAATGGAAAGATTTTGAAAGATAAGGGATAGTTAATATGGGAATTTTAACTCTGAAACTACACACTCCCAGTTCCTAGGAAAAGAAAGGCCACGTAAACATGCCCGTCACTGTTGCATTAAAGATGCTGGACCCAGGCAGCTGAGACTTTGCAGCAACAAGACTAAAGCAAACACAAAAAAACGACTTCTTGCACCTTACTTGACAAAACAAAGTCAGTGTTTGAACATGGGATATAAAGGAAAGTAGTTTGAAATACTTTATGGATAACACAAAAATATTAAAACCGGAACCTCCATTTTTTCCTACAGATCAAAACAGGTGACTTAGGGTAACACTAACATAAGAGTCAACAATGTCAAACAGTGTCAGATTCTCACAATTCAGGATAAAAAAAAAAATAAAGGTACCTCCAAGACACGTGGCTGAACAAGGAGTAAACCCAATGTACTCCCAGTCGTAAATCACGCTGCCATCTTCAGCATGTGTAAGTTCTGGTATGTAGGGGACAGGATCGCTGTCACAGGATGCCTGGTGGCAGGCTCTTTCTGTTGGTGGCTTCACATCTTCACATTCCTCCTCAGGCAGCTCAACCTCAGTCTGAGTGAAGGCGAGAAGAATTCGGCACTTCACGTCCCGCACCTGTACGCCACTGCCACACGTGGCACTGCACGGGGACCAGGGTTCAGGAATAAACCTGCAGATAATCACAGCGCAGGAGAAACACTCTGATTTAATGCCACGTGATTGTGTCTGTGTCCATGCAGGTAAACCACAGCTAAAATATATGAATGTATGCTTACACACAAAGCAGACAATACATAATATCCTTTGATGCTTAAGTAGAATGCATAATTGTCTTAAGTCTTCCACTTGCCTCCCATCCCAGTCCATTTCTCAAAATTCACTAAAGAAAATATGTAGGAAAAGAGGAGAAAGAACCACGAAGAACAGGGAAAGCTCTATCTTTTTTGGGGAAAAAAAAGACATCACCTAAACCTTTTCTCAAACTCCTTCGGTGGAACAAAGGGAGAAACTCCATGAAGACACACGTATACCATATAAAATAGCTCCCCAGGTACGCGTATGCCAAAAGAGTATTTGCAGTCTGCTTAAATCTGAGGAAGGCCATCACCTTATGACATACTAATAATCAGCAGGCAGACAGAAGAAAAGCACTTTTCAAACCTAGCTATCTCCAGCACACACCACCGCAGGCTGCTGTTCACATTTAATCTGCTAAGAAGCCTGTCATCTTCAATAAAGAGGCCTGACTGGCTCAGTCTATAATCCATCATTTTTATTAGAAAGCATTTATGCTCCTGATGAACTATACAGTAAAATCTTATTTTACAGATCATGAATTTACTGCATAAAAGGAGGTTTTAGTCTATAATATTCTCTGACTTTGAGGGCCACATTAATATCTGATAGCAATTTTCAAAATGGCACTAGAGCCAAGGGGCTGAATTTCATTAATAAAGTCATCCTGAGCGGCTCTGGGGTACAGTTTATAAGAAACCAAATACAGGGTTTCATAGGGTGATTTTTCAAAGGGTTTCAGTTGCTCTCTGCAACCCTGCAGAGCTGGTGAACAAAACACAATTGGGACATATAGGAGGATATATTTGACCAAGTTAAAAACGCATTTTGGAAGGAAAATGCAAATTAGGATACAAATATTCTCCAATCTCCTTGATTAAGAATTATCCTGTAAGGGCAGGAAAGCCCTTACAAACAGAAGAACAGTTGTGCAAGACACAAATGTGTATTTACACGCTGCATACACAGTAAGCGTAGAAAAATGTCAACACAGTGGGGTTGATCCTGTGGACAGTTTATCATCTCAAGCCAGTAAATTCTTGCCAGTATATACAGAGGAAGAATCAAACAGAAGAGAGAACAGATGAGCGTGTAACCCATAAGGATACCCTAACTCAGTCCTTGGGGTTGTCACCCAAGCTGTGCTTGGGACAGACCCCAAGACTGACTGTCCCTGTGGAAAAGACTATTTCCAAGGAAGGTTACAAGGTAAGTAGTTATTCTTTAAGGAGATGTCGACATTTACAACTCTACTACGAAGATAAATAAAGATGTCAAAGCCTGTCACTTCAAAGTTTCCTTGAACAGAGCCTTGAAATTTTGGTTTGAGCTCACTGGTCCTTGGTGGACTTCAGTAAAGGACTCAGTATCCCCAGCTCCTCCTGAAACCAAGGAAAACTGCAAGTGCTGATCACTTCACAAGTCCAACTACTTTCAAAGCAGATGACCACGCTAATTTTTATTGGACAAATATTATCAAAATGGTGGATGGTTGTGTCCTACAGGGATAAAATCTGAGTAAATGCCATACTGGTGCAACCCAAGAGCCCACCGAGTCCAATGGTACAACTGGTGGGGTCAATGTCCAGGCACTTTTGATAACAAATTTCAACTGAACATCTGTGGGAAAAGCTGCACAGGAAGGCTTTCTCTCACCCCAGCAACTGAAGTCAGCTTAACCCTGAAACGCCAGATCTCATAGTCTTTTCAGAGACAGGCATGCAAACTGCCTAGGGTGGCCATGGCAAAATCACCCTCCTCCAACAAAACGCTCAGGCGTGTGCCTAACTTCCAGCATATCAGCAGTCCTTTGAAGTCAACAGGACTATAATGTGTTCAGCCTTAAACTCGTGTTTAAGTGCTTTATTGGACCGAGGCCACTGTGCACAGGCTTAGCAAAATCATGGCCTTCCTCTCCTTCTGCGTAAAAGTAATTATAAGTCCATTTGTAGTTATGCAACCTAATAGGGAAAATAAAACTGATGGACATTTATAGTTGAAAAGAGTTGGTTGGTGTTCTGACCCCACCGAATAGCTCACTGTCCGAAAGCAAATAACTTTTTGGTAAAAGTATAACAGCAGCATACCAGAAATTAGCGTTAGTTTTGTATACAGTTAGATGAGTGCATTAAAGAATACCAAAAATAATGTATGATGCATTCTTTCAAAATCCTGTACAAATAAAGGAAATTTTGAACCACAGCAATCCTTTCATTCAGCAACCAATTGATTGATAAAGAAACTCAGAAAATTCAAAGCATTTTTATTTTGACTTACAGCAAGCCTGTATTATAATTGAGGTTTTACTGCTGAATAATAAGTGTCTGGCACTTTTCAGTGAAGTGCAAGATTAAAAAAAACAACTCTAATTTTATTCTGCCTTGGCATTTTCTAAACTCATCACATGACTGTTTAGCTACTAAAATCCTGAATTATGCAACTTTTCAAAGGATGACTCTGTTGAAGTGACTCTTTAAGCACCTTCAGCAGAAGCCAATGGAGACAGCTAATACAAACCGAGAGCAAGGAACTAACTGGGCAGTGACAGGGCTCTGGAGGTTGACACTGGATCTGAACGTTGAGCTCAGGCAGATGATTTTTTTATTTCTATTCTGTATCATATGCACAACCAAAGCCTGTGACAGATCACTAAAGCAAACCCCAACCTCAGAAGTGACGTATTTTTCACTCCGTGGCACTCACTGCACAGACATGGCAATGCTTTGGACACAGGACCTCCCCGACGGAAATTCACTCGGCTCTGACGGGCACAGACAGTGATCCCAGGTGCGGAGTGAGCGCTGCAGTGATTGCAGCTCAGAATTAAGAACCATCAAAGCACTTATATCATGATGCCTTGAAGATCATCAGGAATTTATAATGGATAGGATGGTGGTAACTGAAAGTTTTCTGAGATCTTGAAAGTTTGCAGACGAGACTTCTCTCCTGATTACAAAAAGGAAAAGAACGGAAAAAGGCAAATCCCAGGAGGCACAACTTTTCACAATCTGCCTTTTTGTACACTCATTCTTCCCAGGGCAATGTAGAAAACAAAGGCACAGGTATAAACGATGTACACCCACGACAGATGCAGTGGAGAGCATGTCCATGCTGCAGCATTCTCGGTCAAACACTGCTGGAAATGTGCATTCCCCAGGCACACCTTGAAAACGCCAGTGCAGGATGACCTGGGAAATGAAGCAGTGACCTAAACTACCGATGATAAAACTGGGACAGAACAGCCCAACCCAAGGAAATCTAATCTGAACTGAAAGCTTAACTCAGCACAGCCTTCCACAGCTTTCCAAAGGCTCGATAAACATGGTGTCTCAATACTTTTTTTTATTTTCCTCATGCCTGCAGTTCGTGCTTTCAGTTAAGACAGGAAATGCCTAAATCTTGAGAAAAAAAAAGGCTGGTCTTGTGACATTTCCAGTCCAACCCTACTGTGCCAAGGGGCCTGGATAAAATTTTACAGAAGCATCTAAAATGTTGGCTGGTTACTGGGGCAGAGTTTGCAGGATGCTGGCACCCCCGCCCCTCCCCAAAGCACCCCCCTTGCCTGCTCCAAGCAGAGTTGCACTGCCAGGGGTTATCAGCCTCGAGTATCATGTGTTGGACAAAATCACAAGCCCGTTTTCAGAGAGGCAGCTGTGAAAAATGTGTAACTGCATTACCAAAGGCACGATGGGGACATTTCTGTTACAAAGACTCAAAGGCAATGAGCAGCAACCACCTGAGAGACATCGCATTTCACATCCAGTCACTGCAACTCCACAAACCTGATGATTGCTTTTTAGCTCAGGTTGCTGAAAAGAATATATTAGCTTTTGAAAGAATTATAGTTTTGTCCTAAAACATGGCAGGGAGAGGTGTCTATTTCTTTAACTCACGATTAATCAAAAGGATACAAAAACCTTGCCGGAGCTTCTTTGCGAATCCCACTGTAACTAAGAAGGCTCGAGGGAAGAGTGTTTAAAATAATGATTGGTATCAACTGTCATCACATTCCACAACTAAAAACTAAAAAGGTCAGACCTACATTTTTCTTGGCCTCACTTTAAGGGCAGTCATTTTTTATTTTGCTAATAATAATAAAAAAGAAGCTTTTGAACATTCCCCCTCTATGTAAATTCAGGACACCAGCCGCGGCAGACCACAGCGGCAGAAGTATTTATCTTCCACAAGTTACTTTTGGCATATCCATCATTTGTGGGTTCTAAAACAGAGCTGCATTTATTCTCTTATCCACTATCAACTACAGTATCACACAAAAGCATAGAAGGACAGTTGTAATAAAAGGATGGACTAGAAGTTGAGACTTCATACTGTGGTTTAAGTTCGGATGACAAGAGAATAACTAAAATTAAAAGTGATGGCATCTCACCAAGGAAATCATGAGCTTCATGCTAAGCAGAGGTGGGCTATCCCTGTGCCTTGTGTAAATTACAGGGGGAAAAAAGTTAAATGGATCCAAAACAGATGGAAATCTTGTTATAATTTACTCTGGGAGAAGTAACAACTTATTGTTACATTTCTTTTTAAATTCTAAACCCCGAACCAAAAAATCTCACTCCAGCTGAAGGGGAATCTGGCTGCAGCGTTAGAACTGGGTCCCAGGAGAGCCCAGAGTACCCAGGCTAGGGAAACAGAGCTCCCCAGCAGCACCTCTGCAAAGACAGGGTGGCAGAGGAGACATCAGCAAGATGTGGCTGGAGAAACCTTTCAGATTTAGGTGAAGAGGCTTCTGGAAAATGTGAAGAAAAGATTCTCAGGACAGGGTGAGGATCGTGAAGGAATGATGATGAAGAAAATCTAGATCTCCAGAGCAAGGGAAGAAGAAAACCAAATCCAGGAAACTGCGAAACTGCTCAGCTGTGCCGGGACACGCGCTGGCAGCTCACACACACGGCTGCCTCGGCTCGGTGAGGCTGCAGCGGAACACATCGGTCACGTCTAGCAGGGCATGAATAACCGCTTTCTTTGTGAGGACAAGGTACAAGAGAACCCATTACCAAGTTTCCGGCTCAGCTCTATTATATTCTAAATATACTCTGAACGAGCATGCTGTGTCCCTGCCAGTGCTCCCTGCTTCTTCTGTCAGACGGCTGCCGAAGGATCCTGCAAACCTAGGGACTGTGTTAGCTCACGGTTGCCACAGCACGATTCTGTAATGCTGGAGATCATTTTCTTTACAGCTTCTTCATGCTCAATCCTCTTTAGAGCTGGCCCCATTTACCTTCAGCCTGATATGCTGACATTCCACAGGCACATTTGATTGCATCACCCCCTTCGACAATCACACTTCATTTTTATACCATCGCTACTACCTTGCCTGAATTCACGGCCACCAATTGGAGATATAATAACCACTCACAGTAGGTTGACACTTGAGAGGCTGGAGCAGTGAAAAGTTTAAAGGAGAGTCACCATAACCATGCAAACACCTGCCTGGCAAGGGGTTTCCTCTGTGAGTCAGTGCAGGTGTAAAGATTTTATTACTCACGATCACACCTGTTAGTGCATGTGTGCCAAAAATCAGGAATAGCTAGTTGGAGGAAGAAAAATAAGAAGTTATAGGGCACGCTCCGCTCTCAGAGCAATATAAATCCCAAGCAACTTCAGTAAGCGCACCTAAATTATTTTAAACTAATATTACTACAAATGAGTGCAGAATTTGGCAAAGCACAACAAAATACCGTTCAAAATTGCTCGTGAAAACCGTATAGAAAGTTACTGCTTTCTAGAAAGTTACATACTATACATTGAATATATTAGATACAGATATGCACGAAACGTACACAGGGGATAAGCAGTTGTGGGGGTGCCCTAACACACAAGGGACCAGAACAAGTGTAGCTGGATTAAAGCTATGCTTTCATCACAGGGCTTAAATGTTGCGAGGCTTACCCCATCAGCTTTTGAGAAGACTCACAAATTCTAGGTGTTATTTCACACGTATACACGTGTAAAAGACCCCAACTTATCCCCACAGATCCCGCTAAGCTCAGAGAGCAGCAGGCTTTTCTCACTTTCTTTATGCATTGGTCTCACCCCCCAAGGAAATCCTGGCAGCCCTACAAAGTCCCTCTTAATTTTTAATACAACCACTACATTTTTCAGGCAACAGCAATGACTGGGATAAAACTGAGTGTATTGAATTTATATCTGCTGAAATGCTTCCACAGGCATTAATTAGGGCTTAATTAGGCTAAATTGCGAACCCTTTTGCATTGCTTGAATGATATAGGGGCACTATAATAGAGTAGCTCCGTGTCATCCGGAACAGGAGCTCCAGATGCAAAGCTACTGAGGTTTAAAATTAGGAACAGCTCACAAGGCAACTCATCTCCCAAGGAATGACAGCCACTGTCATTCCAGCTGATCGGCAAAACACGCTGGAAACGTTTCCTCACTGGAAGAGACAATGTACTTACGTTGGCTCTTCGGAGACCGTTCTGGTCTCTTCCATCTCATGTGCTTGTTTAGACCACGGCAATTTTGCTTCCACAGGACTTTTTTCTGGTAGAGAAAAAAAGAAAATTCAATAATTCCTTCAAAATGAAAGCAATATGTAGACATTAGCATTATTCACCTTAGAGCTTAATGCTTTACACAGCCTGTGGATCTATTCCTTTTGAATAAAATTAACTAGAAAATGTCTTCATGACATTTGAGCTCCATCTGACATCCCTTTTTAATGAGAGGGTACCAGTATCCCAATTTCCATTCCTGTTTAATCTTTTACTTCCTTCCCACTTCTTCCCCAAATGCAGGTAGTTTCTAGTAGATTGTAGCTTACACCTCAGTGTAATGGATTATCATCACAATCTCAGTTTTTACCTGAAAAAGGAGCCAGAGCATAGCACATATACATTGCCCTTGAGATAGACTGGCTCCATCAGAAAACCTTCACAGAAAATGTTTTGGGCTTTTTTTTGCTGAGTTAGACATCTTTCCCGAAGTTGGAAAATAATTTAAAAAGCAACACTAGCATATTTTATCTGCCTATACATCCTACGCTTCCGTGATGGTTTTTTCCCGGAGAACTGTAAGCCAACTGAGGACCTGTGTCTCCAAAGTTCAGTAATACCCCAGAAAATGATTCTTAAAATTTCAATGCTAATTTCTCCTTTGTGGTTTAACCCTCAGTATTTTCTCCTTGAAGAATTCTCTAGAGTCTGAAGAGAAACAGGGTTGTCTCCAGACAGCTTTCACTTTTTCTGTGTCAATCCTTACGGAGACTTGTGCAGGTCTGAAACAGAGTCTTTCAAACAAAAACTGAAAGAATGGAAGTAGCACGCACTAAAATTTTCTAGGCCCAGAGCGACACAGATGAGCAAGGGACACGATATACTAGTTTCCCCCCTCACCTCTGACTTTTCATTTAACCTTCCCACCTACGGTTTTATGCCTTACCAACTTTTTCAGAGAATATTTGGCGATTTACATCATTGTTACAAAGCTTTTAAATATGCAGAAATGGAAAACAGAGAATAAAACAATCTGATTTTAACTTAATGAACTGATGAGGCCCACTGAGAATGCTGACACATTTAATGAGACACAAATGAACATGATGCTCCAAGGGCTGGAGCCCCTCTGCTATGGGGACAGGCTGAGAGAGTTGGGCTTGTTCAGCCTGGAGAAGAGAAGGCTCCGGGGAGACCTTATAGCCCCTTCCAGTGCCTGAAGGGGCTACAAGGAAGCTGGGGGGGACTTTTTACAAGGGTCTGTCGTGACAGGACAAGGGGGAACGGGTTTAAACTGAAAGTGGGGAGGTTTAGATTGGATATCAGGAAGAAGTTCTTCCCAGAGAGGGTGGTGAAGCACTGGGACAGGTTTCCCAGAGAAGCTGTGGATGCCCCATCCCTGGAAGTGTCCAAGGCCAGGCTGGATGAGGCTTGGAGCAACCTGGTCTAGTGGAAGGTGTCCCTGCCCATGGCAGGGGGGTGGAACTGGATGGGCTTTAAGGTCCCTTCCAACCCAAACCAGTCTGTGATTCTGTAAGATCCCAGGAGATACGTATGGAGTATCACTCCCATTTCAAATATTATTGAACAAAACTCTTCCCCACATTGAACTCCTTAATGCTGGTTTTCCCAATTTGACCAGGCTGTATAGATTTAGTTAGCGTGTTCACCCCATGACAGTCTGGACAGATTATCAGGAAAAAATATCAGCAGGGCACTTTTCCTAGCACCAATAATTAAAATGCTTATTTCTGCCAAGACTGAAATAACTCCTAGTAAATTCCAGCTTCTGGCATTTATGAAAAAGGTTACCAGGGGCTTTTAATTCTCTTAACAAAAATGTAAAACAATAACAGACCCAGACAAAATTCCAGTTACCTTTTGGCTTGTAACATGGTATTGGCACGATGCACTCTTCTTTTATGTGCAGTTTAAGTTGTGGATTACAGCCACCGACGTGCTGCCCGCGGTGGTCGATGCACAGCACTACCCGGTAACGCAAGCCTCGGCCACAGGTCACTGTGCACTGCGGGAGACAATGCAACCATCTCTTGCTGTTTCTTTTTTTATTATATTTACAAATACTGTTAAAAAGCAAGTTATAAGTACTCATGATGCGTTCGCTAAAGTTTTTTCACCATCAGTCAGGTACCAGAACCATATGAATCTGTCCCTGCATTGCTAGGTGGAGAAAGAAAAGGTCGGTGCCGGAAAAAATGTCTAAGTTTTGAGAACACAAGTAATTTCTTGGGGTTCTGTGAAGCTTATCTGATCGGCAACAGTCTGAAAGAGGTGGCTATGTCCTGAGAATACGCTCTCTCGCAGTGGTCGTTTTCAGTTAAAGCTGGGTCAGACGTGCTGCAAGAGCAGTTTCTTCACTCTGCGTCAGTGATGTCATTTGGATGAACTAAGAAATTATAGAAGTATTGGGCTATCTGACTGTATCAGATAACTACAGCCAAGATAAGTTGGCTTTATGTTCTTATTGCTATAATGAAAGGTAAGAATGCTGGAAAATCAGCCTTGCAGACATGTCAGCCCCTAGACAGACATGCCTTTAGCTATTATATGCAGTGAAATATTACATTTATCAAGAACCGAGAGACAAATGACCTGATTGCAAAGGGGCCTGACCTCTGGCTCTAATTTCTCCTCCGTGTAAAGCAGGAATTCAACAGGCATAAATAATTCTACATGTATTTTTCTCCACACAGACATGTTAACATTTTGATTACCGGGCCAAATTACTTCGTGCAAACTTCTCCTATGAATTCTGCTGTTTTTCTAATAGCCCTGTGCTCAAAAATACATGGCCACAACTTTCTTTAGAAAACAAGAATAAAGGTCCAAATCACTTTTCAACTTACTTGAGACCATTCCATTGCCACCCATTTTGGGCAATCAAAGAGATTGCAGGTTTGAATGACTTTGGGCTTAGGGGCATACATGCACTTCCATTCTTCCACTTGCAGTATCTCTCCATGAATGGTCTCTTCCACGCACACAAAACTTCTCCTCTGAATACCACCTCCACAGGAAACTGAACATGCAGTCCAAGGGTTATGTTCCCAACTGGAAAAAGAACTCACATATATTAAAAACAAGCGTAATTTTTAGGCCACTAATCTCTATTAAAAGGGCAAAAGGCTGAATCCAGTGTTAGTGTCATTAAAACCCACTGACAGTCTAGTTGCAGGATTATTAAGGCACACTGAATATAGATACATTTAATTACAGAGCTACCTTGCATTATTCCAGCCTTAAATTCATGTGCAAAATGAGAAGAAAAATAGAACTAAAAATTTAAGTACTTTTCCCAAACTAACTGAAAGTCTTATTCCCATACATTAGTTAAAGACCCTAAATATACAGAGTTCAATTACGGGAATGATTTTACTTGCAAATAAACTAAATCATCTGCAGAGAATATTTTTCACAGCTCATTTGCATGGGCACATATACTCTTATTACCATTATCAGAGACAGAGAAGCACATGAGTTTGAGGTTACATGAAGTCCTAAGACAGATCTGGCTGTGCTGACTGCGGGTGTTACCACCCACAGTTGCTCATCGCTGCCCACATCATGCAGACTACCCTTCAAAAAACTGTTCATGAAATACTTTTTATGAGAACTCTAATACTGGCTTTGAGTAAACCCAGTCATTTAATTTCAAACCGTCTTCATCCGTCAGGACTGTGAACAAATTAAATTGTGACAGGTACCATTCGGCTGGTCTTCTCTGCAGTTCTGCAAGAGTTTTCCACCCTCATTAAAATGCCACTGCATGACTTTGTATTCACACTTTCCAACTCACTCCAAGAAAAAGGCAGCTGCTCATCTGTTTCAGCCGCTTCGGTTAACCTGGATGATTCTCCCGAAGCCAGGCAATGCATGGATTCAGGAAAACTCACACAGCCCCATCGACCAGCAGAGCTCTGGGGTACTGTACTGGGGCTGCGTGGCAAGGTTTTGGTAGATGGGGGGCACAGGACTGGCTTCTGTGGGGAGTTGCTGGAAGCCCCCCCGTGTCCGATGGAGCCAATGCCTGCCGGCTCCACGGCAGACCCACCGCTGACTGAGCACATCAGCGATGGTGGTAGCGCCTCTGGGGTTTAAAACTTGTTCCTATTACAACTGCAGGGGCTCAGAAAGGATCATGAAAAAAATTATATCCATTATGAACAATGGACTCAGCAAGTACTAGAATATCCCACCAAAATCAATTCATCAAGAGTAACCCAGCTATTAAAAGGAAGTCATAATCTCAGAGCAGATGAAGCAAAGGCCTATAAATCCAAGGTAAACTCAAGTGATTACTACCCACTTTCTGTGACACCGCAGGTAAATCAAGGACACTTCCTATTTTAAGCAATTCATTAAACTGCCTACAAAAACATATTAATCATGCTTAAGCTCAACAAAAGAAGGGCTGTGAAACACAGCAAGCCATGGAACATGAACCATAGAGTGTATACTCAAAAGCATTCGGAGCAAAGCTGTATGCCCAGATACTGATATCGTATCACAAGTACAAAATACACTTGAAGAGCAACAGTTACATTTTCTTTGAGTTAAACGAACGGCCAGCGTTCACTCATTTTCTGTAAAAAGAGTCAGGAACTAAAGAGCAATTAACTGTTCAATGAATTAGCAGCTCATGGATTTATACGTATACGGCTCACAGTGCTGTATGCAAGACTAGCCTCACAAGTGTTTATAGCATGGAGTTTTATAGTTGTTTTTCTTTATCTCATCAGTTTCAAACACACTCCAGATCCCATACTCCCATAAGCATTTTCAAGATGGAGTGAGGTCCATGGCTACTGGGGAAAAGGGGGGTCTTGGGCAAGCAGTCAAGGAGATACTTTCCAGAACCCACAGCTGTCAAGGGATCCTCAACAGTCCAACAAGTCTGAAATAAATGGAGGCATTCCAAAAGCTTTAAAAGAAAATTTTCATCCTGGGAAATTTTTCTATTTATTTCAAAAGAATTCTCCATCTGTAAAAATATTTCAGTGGGGCATTTACAACTCTAGCCACAGGAGAACTCTTTCAAGATCTTGCGGTGCACCATGACTTTCCCACAACTTCCTCGTGTGAATGGGAAAGCAGTGGTAGAGGCCCCAGGACTGCAAAGCAGCCCTCCACATGGCCCTTGTGTTCTGTAGGAGATGGGATGTAATGACTGCTGGTCAAGGTGGAGGAGCCTGCACAGCTTCGCTCAAGCTTATCTACAGGACTTGGGTTTCCTGCCTGCTCTGCACAGTCTTGGGTTAGCATGTAAGAACCAGGTTAAAAAAGAAAAAGCAAAAAGAAAGGGTGGGAGAAGCCCCAGGAGCACTGGCACAGGGAGAACTGGCACTGCAGCTACTTCACAGGCAGCAGCACAGAGAAAATACATCTTGCAACACCGAAGCGAGGCTTGCATCCTTGAACCTGGACCAGATTCACCTCATGATGCAGGTATACAAGCTGTTTTCTTTCAGAAATTCCAGCAAGGAAAGGTGCCCTTACACATTCGCTGTGCATCTTCCTGCACCCTACCAGTGGAACACAGCCTGTTTCCTCTCTCCCCTTCCTCCTGGCACCAACTCTGAGCCCTGCTCGGCCATCTGCTATCTTACAGTTCTTGCTCCAGAGCATCATCCAGGAAGACCATGGTACCTTCTGACGGGACACACAGAGGTGTCGAGTCAAGGGGGACCTTTGTCCATGGCTCTCAGTGCTTGAAATAAGAGAACCTGCCCACAGCTTTATCACAGACATGATCTCCCTCACCACAGTGTCGTGCAAACGTGCTGAGCACAGTAAAGCACAGAGAGGGGATTAAGTTTCTCTTCCAACTGGTCTCCAAGCCCTGAGCAGTTCAGAAGATGAAATACTCATGTAAATAAATTGTGCTGAGTTCCAGAGGAGATCTGAACTACAAAGGAATTGGCAGAAGAAATGGAAGGAGAAAGAGAGAGAGAATATAATTATGGAACTTTACAGGATAAAGCTGTAGAGGAAAAAAAATCTCAATCTCTGTATGAAAGCCAAAATACATCACAGGACAGGAGATCCACAACAAGCGTAAATTGCTACAGAAATAAACTATGACATTTATATCAGCTGTAATCAGTAGCTCCACTGACCCGTGCAAGTCTATGATTTCATTCTTATTACTTCATATCTTTACTTCTTTAAAAAAATACACATTATTCATTTCATGACATAATAAAGCAGAGGTTCAACTCAGATAAATATGCATCTAACTCCATCAGCTATAATTCTTTACATTAAGAGTAAATCTGGCTCAATGCTTTTTAGTCCTAATATTCTTTACAAAACATCTAGATCTTCCAGAGAAATTTTACATTCTCGTGATTGAATCAGCTAAAAAACATAATTTAAAAGGCAACAAACTGTGCTCTGAGAACTTAATTTCAGGCAACAGATATACAGACAACACAGTATCTTGTTGATACTGAGTGACACATCAGCCTTGATGTTAGGTCTAAAGAAGAACAGAAGAATGAGAACTCTCAAGGAAACCAGAGTCCTGTAACACAGGGAGACCTGTTCTATAAAAGAATACATTCATTTCATACACCTTCTTTTCTTTCAGGAAAAGAATTCATACATGCAATTTAAAGGAGATGCTCTTCTCAGCACTACAGCAGGAGAAGGCTTTGGGGGACAGCACTTTATTCTAAAGCCTTCCACACTGATATTTTCAAGCACAGCATATTAACCTCTTACTGTTAAGCTAATCCTCCAGAGCACGCTGAAATAAATCACAAGTTTCAAAAATGTGTACCGGATTGTTATAAACTTGCTCTCCTGTACAGCAAAAAAAATCAGATGTTCCATGATCTTAGTACCCAAATAGTATATTTGCAGCAAAAATTGTGCTAATGCTGACACACACACTCCTGATTATACATACCGAGGAAGTGGCTGGAAGTGATCATAGGGCATGATTTCTTTAAATCCATCACTGTCAACAAAATAAATATTGCATCATTATTCCTCATACCCGAGACTGTACATCAAGTACATATTTTTACGTGATCTTGCTTAAAGCAAGCAATTCCCAAGGTGAAATGAGGGAATCTTACATTCAGTACACATTACCCCGTGGCAAACAATGACTCATATAACCTTACCTCTTCTGCACAGACAGAGGTCTATTCACCATACAGTTTCTCCACTTCATACCACAAAAAAAATACGAAATGAGTAAGCCTTAGGCAGAGAAATTTGTTACCAGTGATCCTTTAGGTCTGTACTACTTTATTAACAAGAAAAGAGTTATATACTCCTATCTGCAACGGAGATTGCTGAGAACGTGAGTGGCAGCGAAATAAATGTATCACAGGATTAGTCCTAGAGAGGTTCTGAATGGTGCTTGGGACCCTTCTAGAGCTTTTCATTTGAACTGCACAGCACAGGGCAGGCATAAAGCCTTACCTCCAATACTAAGAAATATGGTGTTATATCCAATAGCACTTCCCTTTCTTCTGTCTGCATAAGTTAAATTTGCAAAGGAAAATGTAATTATGCCCTTTCTTTCCTTAATTTTCCTATTCCAGCTTTGTAACATTTGGCACCCATTGCCACTAAGTGTTACCGAAGCCTTACCACTCCACACAGTGACCAACTCTGCAGAAGAGCAACTTGAAAGTCTGCACACCTCTAACTGTTAGAGGTCACTATCAACGATTATGTTCAACAGGAATGAACGGAAATGGACAGTTTAGCTGTAGGAAATTAAATCCATTGAGAGTGTTTCCTTTCTTCTTGCATATAGCCCTTGCTCGGCCAGCTGGCATATTAATGTGAGGTTCTGGGACTTGATACTGCGATGTTATTTTAAGATTCTTTAGCACAGCCAGGAAACCTCAGCAGACAATCCAAGAGTTAGTTTGAAATACTGTAGTGCAACTCAATACAATTTATGTATACTATAGCCTTTAAAACCGGGCAATAATATTCTGTGGTATTTGTGCCACAAGTACATTTACTTTGAAGTTGTTGTTGTTGTTAGTTCTTAGAGTAAAAAAACAAACCAACCCCCTCAACTCAATTACTGAAGTGTCATCTGCACAGTACAAATGAAGAATGAAATTTTATGGTAAGCAGATGAATAAACAAAGTTAATCCATGTGCAAAACTTGTACACTGACTGAGAACTGAAGCTACTGTCTGTCCAATGAGAAACCCTGAATGGCAGCGTCTATAAATCCAAAAGCAGGCAAACAGTCTTTGCTCCTCACACAACCTCATAAAACCCTTGTACTAGTGCTGTACAACTCAGCAAAAGACAGAATAGTAGAAGTAGCCCTTGAACAGACTAATCGATATTTATAACACCTCTGTACAAAGCAAAGTCTCCTGTTCTACAGCGCTGAAGTGCCACAAACCTATCGGCAATGGTGCCAGACATCAATCAACCAAGATGAAGTAGCCTTAAAGAGCAAAAGAACTGAAATGACGTAAATACAACTGCTTGTTTCTTAGTAACTGAGCAGACCACACGCATATTTGTCATACACACCTAGAAGGGCAGGGATCCATGTTGCATTCTTTCAGCTTGGGCTTTGGCTTCTTATTTTCTGGGTAGTAATGACAATAGTGGTCAGGAACAACACGCTTCAGACGAATATCCACGCATTCTGCGGAATTGAGCTGATAGCCTAATGCAGAACATAGGTGAATCTTGGTAACAGAGAAGAAGTAAAGCAGCTTTATTTGCCACACAACCCCATCCCAAATAACGTGCTGCCCATGACATAATTTCCTGTGTTCTTCTTCTTCGGTTTGCTTTTAAACAAGGAAACACAGGAGCATGCAGGACCAGATCTTCATTGAGAGCAACCTGGCATCACAATTGTGTTAACCTAGCCTAACACTAGATGAGACTCTGCCACACTACTCTAACAGTATTCTAAGAGTAAAAGCATACATATTTTCAGGAGCTGCAGAAATGAATGTACTGGAGCAGCTCACCTGTCCCAGAGGCAGCCCTATGTACTAGAACCCAATGTGTTCTGCTACACATGCCCCAATTTATGACTGCCCTCCCCCAAGGAGGAGTTACCGTGTGTTAGCTGTATTACACAGTCACGCATGCTACAAAATAATAAATACTTCCCACAGAAAGCCAGAGGAATTGGAGATCCAAGCACACTGTTAAGTTAAACCGTCAAAACCCAAGAAATAGTTTCAAGAACATTCCTAGTTGAAGAGCCAACAAAAGAAAACTTGAAGCAACTACTTGGTGAAAAAAAAAAAATCAATGTGGAGACTGGTTACAAGAAGGGATGTGAGTTTTATAAACCACTAGGTTGCTTTTTTGGCTAAGAAAAAAAGACTCCTTCAAAAGAGCGGACTTGGACTTCAGTTGAGGAGAGAAGGAGGATGTTCTGGTATGTGCAAAGAAAAAAAATGTTGAAACCACAAGAATTAAAATCCAAATAGAGTCAATAAACCAACAGCACAAGCCCCAGTGTCTACTGAAAATGCGAAGTATCGTATATCAATGGCTTTGCTCTCTGCGCTCTTGGCTGATTCAGTGTCACCATGCGTGATGAGTGTGATGGCTACAGAGAGGAACGAAGCAGTTCCAGAGCTCAAAGCATGTATGTTCCAGTTCTGCTAAGTTCTGAAAGGACGCAGAAGATATGCCACTTGCAAACAAGATAAACACAGTTTTGAAACATTCGTTCTCATTCAAGCTCAACTGTGCTTTCTGAGATGCCCGTCGCACTCTCCCCTCCCACACAGAGATTACAGAATTAAACGAAGGAGCAGCATCCAAGTGAGGAATGGTGGTGCACTGATTCCAAGTCTGTCTTGTGAGCAACTTTTCCTTTCACTGCCAGCAAAAGAGGCCAAACAGACAATCTGGATACTAAATCTGCTTTAAGATAACAGGTTAAAGCCAGGCAGCTGCAATGCAGCTTCCCTGTATGCCTCAGTAACACACCAGTCTTACTGCTACCACTTTCACGGGTAAGCAGAAGCTTAGTGTCTGTGCTCCTTCCGTTACTGGCCTCTCTCAAGATCGCCATCAAGTGTCAAGCTCTGTCGATAAAGGTACCAGTTCCATACTGTAGACATGCAGTTACAAAGTAGGGCTTTGAAAACACTAATTTCAAAGGGATTGACATGTAGCTATAATTGTCAAACCATAAGACCAGGCTGAATAAGGCTGGATTTGAGTCAGTAACTCTGAAGGTAAATATGTCCCCTGAGTTATCCAGTGTTTACCTGCAGCCCTCAAAAATAACTGCGATGCTTTACCCTTCTTCCTTGGTCAGACAGGTTAGGGAAAAATTCATAAACACAGTGCGATGGACTCATGAGAGGGTATGTACTGCCACTCAGCTCCAGTCAGAATCACACTTCATGAGGCCACACATCTTGTAAAATACAGCAGTGTCCTGTGGGGTTACGTATTATGTACATATATTGTCTGCATTCCAGATTAAAGTGAGGTGCAAGTGCCAAAATGGATGATCCACCACAAGATCCCCTGACCCTGCACCTCAAACATCTGTAACTCTTTTTACTCACGTCCCTAGTAACTATCTCAACCGTATTTGTACTCTCCAAGAAAATCACTACACCAGTATCACTAGTATTCCAGTCTGCTCTTCAGGTGGGTAATGCCCTGAGAGCCATCTGCAAGGTCAAACTCTCCTCCTACCATGCGACCACGCTTTTTGAGGAACCAGGCATGACAAGCAGTGGGCTGGGCTGGATGAGCAGTAGCAGAGCTGAGCTACGCTTTATTCTAACCCTTGTATAAGCTTCAGTGTTTAAACCAGGAGTAGGCACCATGGTACACTACCTGCTGCTCTAACTGCCATCAGGACTCAACGTCTAGTAGTGACAGCACCTACTGTTTAAATTCTATTTACTTATTTCTGTTTTCTGTGTAACTAACTTCTAAACAAGAGTGTTCTAAAATTCAACCTCATGTCTCCCACTGTGGCCAGAAATACCTTTTCTGTCATCTCTTGATCATCCTTATTTTAAAATCTCATTGTATTTCTTTACTTTCCCCCAATATCCTTTACAAATTATTATTTTCCACTTTGAACGTGCTACCTTTATTTCTTAGTCAAAGTTCTTACTCAAACAATAATTCCTTATGAAAAACATGACTTCCAGTAATATAAGATACAAAAGAAACTATGCTCATATTGACATAACCAACCAACTTACCTGCTACTGTAATTTATTTTTCTGAAGAAGAACCAGTGTACAAAGAAACACAAACATTCAACAAATAAAAATGTAGAATGAAAGTTGCAAATCAGCCACTTCTAATCTGCAGGTGTAAACACTCCTGACGAATTGTCAGTACTTACCTCCTCCACATGTCACTGTGCAGGGGAAGAATTCTGTTTGTCTCCACTGATGACTGATGGGTTGGTAGAAGAAGAACTGAACCACGCTCTCTTTCGATCCAGAGTACCTGGTCTGAAGAAATTTCCATTACAACACATGTGTATACTGTACTCCACTCTTCACGTCAGTTCAAAACATAATTCATATACATTAACAGTGCAGAGAGTAAGATGATAACGGACAAAAACCTCTAAAAAGACTAGAATAACAATTACATTTAAGTTTCCAATAATCAAACACTTGTATGTTGCTTTGTTTTCCAAATTATTCAAGGTATTAATATGACTATTTGACTATCAATCCTTGATTGGCAAAGTTCCTAACTGTATGGCAAGGTTCCCAACTGCCTTATCTCTTCATTAGCAAAATTTTACAGATTTGCTGGGGAGGGAAGTCAATAAGTGACTTAACCACACTGGTTCACATTTGGGCAAGTCTAACTGCACATCTGATATTGGAGATGCAAAATAAACATGAAAATAAACATGAAAGCCTACTGCTATAACATGACAGATAAAGCTAAGTGGTGTAATGGGCCAAGTGGCTCATCATTTCCAAAGGAAAACTGTACGACTATCTTCCTTTGGCAGTCAAATACTGATACTCTTCTACATATAAATATCTGCACGTATGATGCAAGCCACCGGTATGCGGTCTGGGTAGAAGAGAGACTGAAAAGGATTAGAAATGGTCAGTAGCTGGATTAGCAGTATCTAAGGGAGATTCTAGGGCGCTGCTGGACGCAGTGCTCGGATTCAGTAGGTGGCAGTCTGCAATTGGATCAACACCCACCCACTGCACAGCACCACGCCATTACTCTTGCAGCAAGATTTACAACAAAAGTCCTGGCCATCTTTAAAGAATGTGTGATACTTTCCACCACAGCAAAGATATTAACCCTGTAATATATGAATTTGCTTGGATATATTTAGTATAAATTATGCCTGGACTTCAATTAGGATTATTTATGTGCCAGCTAAAAGATTTTGCTGTATTGCTTACAACCCGATGGACAGCCACCTTCTCTGTTGCTTATACCTGCAGTATCTTCATAGATTTATACATACACATATCCCACCTTGATGATGAAATCTGCTCCAAGAGGTCCCTGTATTTTTATGATTTCCCTGTCTGTACTCTTCTGAAATTCAACAGTTGTATTTTCTATGACAAATGTTCCAGGAGCATTGAAACTGTGCTCTCCCTTGTCTCCTTGTAGTGTCTTTGACTCTACCACTAGAAAAGAAATATGCAATTAGTAAACTTCAGAGCAGGATATTTTTAATTCTCGAGTAAGTCAGAATAGTGTTAACAACTTTGCTTTGCAAGTAGCAGCAGTGTATGTGCATTAAAAAAAACACACAAAATATCTGAAAGAATATCAGTTGCTTCAGATTATAGGCTGAGACGTAATTGCATGACATGCCAGCGCAGGAGTATCTGCCTGAACACACTAGTCTCTCATACCAGAAGCCCTTCTGAGACAGTTTTTCCTACACCAAGTGATCTATATAGTTGTATAGCAATTTATTCAGCAGAAAAACAAACTCACAAAACAGATAGAATCAATACACAGAAAAATAACTCTTACTTCTACACTGCTCACAAGCATAGCAATTTCAGCAATCAGTCTCCAGAGAAGCCTGAACAGTGTCAAACTTGCCAAACACTCATCTCAATACCAGTACAACTCTACCCGTTCCAGAGGCTATTAACTCAGTTTTTAATATCCTCCATGGGAGCCGAAGGCAAGGCCAGGAGGTGAGAAACTGCAGCACTGCCTGAGGGATGTCCCTTTCTCAGAACAGGTGGGGATGAAAATCCCTTTTGAGCTGTTCTGCATTCCTTGGAAACCGATTAAACTAACAGCCCTCAACGGCCAGAAGACAGACAAAGCGTTTTAGGATTGAGTCACTTCCAGCGAGCTGACTGAACTGTAAGTGGACAAAGCTAAAGGAAGATATTATTGATGAATTTTGGGCTCTGCATAATACAGTGTATGCGCCCAGTGAGATGTGCGACTTGATACACACCGGTCTGGTTACAATCTATCAGGGCACTGCGTGAGAAAGGCACGAATCTCAGATGAGCTCAAGGCTAGCTAAAAGGAACTTCCTGATGAGTTATAAATACCCCCTTTCTCCAACTACTTTGCCTTTTTTGGTACTTTAAATGGAGTTACCTAATTCAGGCTAGATAATTTAGGTTGAGAGCATCTGTTTTTACCTGCACTGAAAACATACTCTGAATGCTGTAGTCTATCATTAGTTATCTTCCTTAAGATCTTTTAAAATATAAATGTATTCTAGAGCATCCCCAGAGAGAGTGCAAAAAATCCTAGAAGAAATTAACTTCCTTGAAAAGGTACCAACATTATCCCAAGTTTCTAAGCATTAGGTTCCACCATGCTCATGATGTAACAATGCTCACATACAGGCCTGGAAGGAACTCTAAGGAAGGATAAGGAAATGGAAAATTACTCTAGGAAATGACATTACATTGATCATAGAGTAGGAATCTAGTGGTGAACCAAATGTACTTTGTCAAAGAGAAAAAATAAATCTCTGGGAATCCAAGTGCCCCATTGTCCAATGTGTTTCCATTAGGAATAAATAGATACAAACAAATCACAGAAAAATCAACAAGAATTTAGATGATGACTACATGTTTTGGTTTGTCACTTTTAAGGAAGTTTTCTTTCCTGACTGCATTACAAAATAACCTTTTAAATATCTGGAATTCAGCATACTTGCATTAAGCTTCCACAAGACTTGCTCCCAAAATCATACTGCTTAGCAGTATTAGTGCCTGTTATTTTGTCATTTTGTTGACAAATCACAGAACTATAGAATCCCAGGTTGGAAGGGACATCAAGAATCACCTGGTCCAACCTTTCTTGGCAAAATCACGGTCTAGACAAGACGGCCCAGTCCTCCGTCTAGACGAATCGTGTGTCCAATACCGGGGAATCCCTCACTTCCCTGGGGAGATTATTCCAATGGCTGATTGCTCTTGCTCTGAAAAATTTTGTTCTTGTGTCCAATACGAATCTCCCCAGGAGTAACTTGTACCCATTACCCCTCATCTTTTCCATGTGACTCCTTGTAAAACAGCCGTCTCAATGATCTTCGTAGCCACCCTTTAAATACTGGAGCACAGTGATAAGGTCTCCTCTAAGTCTTCTTTTCTCCAGGCTGAACAAACCCAGTTCTCTCAGCCTTTCCTCACACGGCAGGTCTCCCAGTCCTTGGATCATCTTTGTGGCCTTTCTCTGGACCCTCTCCAGCCTGTCCACACCTTTTGTGCACAGTGGGGCCCAAAACTGAACACAGTATTCCGCGTGTGACCTGACAAGGTTGAGTAGAGTGGCATAATGACTTCTTTATCTCTGCTGGTGATGCCCTTGTTGATGCAACCCAACATCCCGTTGGCTCTCTTCGCTGCAGCAGCGCACTGTTCACTCATATGGAGCTTGTTGTCCACCAGGACCCCCAGGTCCCTTTCCAGAGAGCTGCTCCCCAGTCAGGTACATCCCAGCCTGTGCTGCACACCTGGATTATGTTTTCCCAGGTGCAAGACCTTACACCTGCCCTTGCTGAACTTCATAAGGTTCTTCTTAGCCCACTTTTCCAGCCTATCCAGGTCTTCCTGCAGGCTGGCTCTCCCTTCTGACATGGGTGATGGCTGACGATAGCCCACTCAGTTTGGTATCATCAGCAACTCCATCATGGCACACTTGATCCCATCATGCAGATCACTTAGGAAGATATTAAACAATGTTGGGCCTAATATCGATCCCTGAGGGACCCCACACATGATGGGTTTCCAGTTTGAAAAGGAGTTATTTACCATCTCTCTCTGGGTGCGGCCTGCCAGCCAGTTCCCTGCCCACCACACGGACCGCTCGTCTAGACTGTAATTTACCAGTTTCTCTAGGAGCAGGCTGTGGGAACCTGTATGGAAAGCCTTGGAGAAATCCAGGTAGACAATGTTAATTGCTTGCCCCACATCAACCGAGCAGGATAAGGTGATCAAGTTCATCAAGCACAATTTGCTGTTAGTGAATCCATGCTGGTTTTTCCCAATCACGTGCTTCATTTGACTTGTGACAGACCCCAGGAGGATTCATTTCATAACTTTCCCAGGGACTGAAGACTGATGGGCCTGTAATTTCCTCGATTCAGCTTTAAGCCTTTCTTGTAGATGAGGGTGACATTAGCCTTCTTCCAGTCTTCTGGGACATCCCCTGATCTTCATGACTTCTCAAAGACTATGGAAAGCAGCCTCACAGTTATGTCAGCCGGCTCTCTTAACACCCTTGGGTAAATAACATCAGGGCCCATCGACTCGTAGGGGTCAAGGTCCTGTAATAGTTGACATATCAATTTTTTCTTCACTGGACTGTGTTTGCATCAACCTGGGTTTTTGTTCCCAAGGCCTGGGCCCCAACACTGCTAGTAAAGACAACGGTGAAGAAAGTGTTGAGAACCTTTTCAGCATTGTGGGTGACTAATTCACTTCTATTTAACAGCTGGGCAACGTTTTCCTTCTGTTTCTGCTGCTTGTTCATGTATCTGAAGGATCCTTCCTTGTAGATTTTGACATCTCTGACCAATTTCAATTTGAGCTGAGCTTTTGCTTTTCTACCTGCATCTCTGCACACCCTGGCCAATGCCCTTGCAGTCCTCAATGGGTATTCATCTGCTTTTCCATCTCTGTAACACTTCTCTTTTGGTTTTGAGCAGACTCAGAAGCTCACAGTTGGTCCAAGGGAGTCCCTTGCTCTGCCTGCTTCCCTTACCTTTTAAAGTGGATGAACTGTTTTTGTGTCCCCAGGAAAGCGCTCATGAAAAACTCCCAAGACTCGCTAGCTTCTTTATCCTCCACGGAAGCTCCCCCTGAATCCCGCCCAGCTGAGCAGCTCTGAGCGAGCTGAAGTTTGCTCTGCTAAAACCTAAAATCCTTGTCTTAGTACTAACCTTCAGCCTGCTCTGCAGGTCCCCAGACTCCACAGTATTGTGATCACTCCGGCCAAAGGCCATCACTAACCGAAAGCAAGTTTCCTTGGCTTGTGAGTAGCAAGTCCTGCAGTGCCTCGTTCCTGGTTGGCACATCTAACAATTGAATGAGGAAGCAGTCCTCTGTGCGTTCCAGGAACTTGATGAATGATGTGATGTGCTGTATTGTAGTTGAAGTCACCCACAAGAACCAGGTTCTGTTGATCTGAAGCTTGCTTAGGTGACCCAAATATTGCTTTGTTGGCCTTACTGTCTTGGTTTGGAGATTGGCAGCAGATGCCTACTGTAAGATTCCCCTTGGAGGTGACCCCTCTGACCTTGACCCACTGCCATTCGATAGGGCTTCCACAATCACCGTAGCTGACTTCTATACATTCAAGGTTCTCCTTAACACAACACAGAATATGACAACTCTGCCTCCTATTCTTCCCCACCTGTCTTTACAAAACCCCAGGGAGAAGGCACTGCAGATACCTCACTGCGCAGAGATATGCATGGAAGAATTCCTAGGGAAGTAGCTCCTGCTCCCAGTGCAAGAAGGAGCCAATCACGTTGCCATCCAAAAGCCCTTTCTTTTCCATGTGATTCATTTCCAGATAGCCCAAAATAAAACATGCATTCTTCTCAAAGAAAGCAACATTGGCTTCATCTTAGCATTGCTCAAAAGACAAAGCAGTGCATAGATGCAGAGCTAAATCCTGTCAAGTAATGCAAATCACTGCAAGCAGAGAAGAAATTAACACAAAGGGGAGAAAAAAGAGTTTCAGTTCCTTTTCATGAAGTTGAACCTCCCTAAGTTCATGAACTCAGTTATCTAGCATTAGCCACTTGTAAAAATATTAGCTTCTGGTTTTCCTGTTTCTTCTGCTGGAGGATTAATTTCAGGGAACCTTCAGTCTTTCTTTTGATTCTAATGCTCTTAAAACAACTTCTAGAATAGCCATAATATAGCCCAAATCAAAAACAAAGCCATCACAATGAAACATTTTATTCATAATCATTTTTGTACTGATCATTCGGTTATTTCCTACCAAATCATTCACAAAACCCAAGAAGACAGAAGAGGAACCTATTTGTAAAAAACGCAAAGTAACACCTTTGCTCTCTGATGAATGTGTTGCCTGTCTTAAAGTGTCCATACACACAAACAAAACACTTAAAACCAGCTACAAAGAAATGCTGCTTCCCTAAAACACGCGGCTGCTGATTGTAAAACAACATTCAGAGCATTTATCTGTTTCAAATCGGTTATGCGCAACATCTCCAGCCACATTTCCATTTTTGATTAATCCTGCAGCTGTGTTTCCCTGGAACAGGAGCAGATCATAAAGCCCGGGATGAAGCACAAAAGAACACAAGATAAAGGGAAAAGTGCCAGACACTCCACAGTGCTATTCGAGCGTTCGCTGTTGCTGCTGACGTTACTTGAAGAGCAAATATACAGTGGCAATAGGAGGCAGTATGACATTCAACAAGTAGTCCCTGCTCCACCTGTTAAATTCAACTTCTTACAAGCCAGGAAGAACGGCTCTGACAAATGAAGCCTGAAATTATAGGTGATTGGTTTTTTTAAAATTCTGCCATTAATTATACCAGCACACGCGCACAGAAGTCAATGAAGTTGCACACCCAAGATCACTGGGTATTCTCTGTCAAGCAATAAACACCCACAAGCACCCATACAGGCAGACAAACAAATTGTCCCAAAGCACAATCCCTACAACGTCGGCTCTCCATGATTCGACTATGAGGCCAGAAGCAATTTCCACCTCCTTCCCCACAGCAGCGCTCACTTGTTTTTCACCTCTGTCATTTTAAATATTTTAGGTAACACATGTCTAAATCCTCACAGATTTGCAAACAGATGTGCTGGGGGAAGTGGTTAAAGGAACATTTCACAATTCTCATCCAACTAGCGAACAAAGGTAATGCCAAGCCACAGCTTCTTTACGGAACCACCCTGGGTAGGAAGCCAGGAGCACTCTGTACTTAGTTACCGAGCTGCTGCTGCATTCCTCAGGAGCTTTCCAGAAATCCCCCAGGAGCCACTGAATCTAGTACTGTTTCCTCATGCAAAGCTGAAACAACAACTTCCTTCTGCAGAACTACTTAAGAAAGACCAAGAGTCCTGACCTGAACTGGTCAGGCCCACTCCTTCAGACATCCTTTGCAACAGTTTCGCATGAATATTATTTATTTCAAGTCCAGGTTCGTACATTTTTGCTAGCAGTGTTATATCTAGAAGTAATCGTCACTCTGGAGCTACTCTAAAAGTGGGAGTCTTACTCCATTTTTTCTTTCAAAGAAAATGACAATATATTCTTCAAAGCAAACAGATGAGCAATTTGCAAATAAAATGCGTTTCTGTCCCGTTTACATATCTCAGAGCAGCAGAAGTCCTTTTTATTCCTGTCATTCAGACTAAGCCTTCCACTTGTACTCAAAATGTTAAACGAAGGGTTTATTTCATTGTTTGGTATGGCAGTCCCACTTATCACTGAAACAATTAGTTCTTTATGTAAAGTAGGCCTACATTAAAGAAATTACCATAGATACTACCATCAGCCTTATGGAGAACATTAGAAAACAAACGCCTAACAGCACAGCAAGCTGTTTCTCACAGAGAGTATGTAACGATCAAAGCATTAAAAAGGAACTGGACTTGTGTCACGTATTTTATGTATTTTGTTTACTTTACCTCATTTTTACCTAGATTACTTCTGCTTGAACACTGCTCACTGACCAAGTGTGACTTCAACTGGACGATTTACACTGTCTCAGACTGGTCAACAGAAATCGGGCGGTGGGTTATGTGAGTGCTATCGGTCTCACACATAACCCTTTGAAAGTAGTTTTGATGTAATTGTTTGCATGTAGTTTAAGAGTGTACCATATTTTAGTCATCTTACATAAGAATCACTTAGTTTAAATAAATTTAGAAACCATCAGGTATGTATACTATTCCTTTTTAGCAAGTGGACTTCAAGTGTTCTGTAGGACTATCTCCAGGCAGGGTATGAAAGGTGGGAAGAGGAAATCAAGGTCATGATCTTACCCATATTCCCAAAGTTTGGGTGAGTTCAGATACAAGGTTCTGTTTTTATCTTCTGATTATGAATAAATACATAAAACAGCTCAGTCATACCAAGGTGTGCTGGTCCTTTCAGTGTGATTCTCACACTGCGACTCCCATGCGGTACTGCAATCACCGTTTCTTCCCCTAGGAAAATTAAAGAACTGTTTTAGAAGTTATCTTGCATCAGGGAATTTGCACATCACGTAACTAGACTGAAAACTGTCAAATGTGTCTAAGAAAATATTTAACAGGCTTCACAATTTTTCTATTAAAACTAATCGCATGTTATTTTATGAAGTACAGTACACTGAGTCTGTTTGTTATGCCATGCAAGTATTAAGACCTACAAATGAACGTGTAAGTTTTTCTTGCCATTGGAAAATGGTTTTCTATTAACAAAACCAACTGAAATGTCAGTAGTGTATTAGGAACATACTTACACTCTGTTGTCCTACTTTTATTTCCTAATCACTGAATTGACATAAGGAATCTGCTAAGTAGTACTTCCCCCTTACAAAACTCTGCAGCTGCTCAGTCTCACTTTGCCCACACCTCATTTCCTGCTGCAGGTCACAACTTTAATAAGCGGCAGGACTTACAGGAAATAAATCATCTACTTAACACTAACCCTTAACCAATTACAGACCAGTTAAGAGCAAATATATATTAGCTATGTATATATTATAACAGAGTGCCTGCATCTAACTTACCATATAAGATCATTCCTTCCAGTAAGAGCCTCAATTTAAAATTGACTATAAACCAAACCAGCCCTGAACAGGACATGTCAATACGAAACAGCTTTTGGCTGCCTGAATGGCCTCGTCATATATAAACGTACAACACACTTCAGGGCATTTTACAAAGGTGGAAAGTTATTACTTTCCATTTCAAATGTAGGAAATCTGTTATTTGCCCAAGGAAAGAGTTAACAGTCACATCAATAGAGTCTTTTGTGCCCACAAAAGCAGTGCTCTCAGAAAAGGGTACACGCAGTGTACGACAGGGATATCCACAGAAGGATGAGAGAAGTGTCCAAGCCATAAAGTACTGGCACGCTATCTCCCATTTCCATCACGACCCAACTGTAAATCTTCTTTGAGGCAGGATGCGCAAACATGGGCCCACTGCAGGCACAGCAGAGGCTGCTCTGCTCTGGGATGGCATCCACATCTATCCAGGGGCTGGTGGAGAGGAAGGTAATGTTTGCAAATTCAAAAAGTAATGCGAGTTGAAGGTCAGTGATACATTGGCTCCGGAATTACGCATACAATTTGAAGAGGAAGAACATTTGAGTTTAGTCTTAACTAAAAAGTAGTTGAAGAATGGTTCTTTCCACTTTAAACCAGACCCTCTTATAGTAGATGCTAAATTATCAGCTTCTGGTTTACATCTCCTTAGCATAAGTATGAAATCCTGCCAGAAGTTCAGGATACTTCAAGCAAATACTGCAATTATTTTTTCAGAAATAAACACCTTCTTATGTTACAGTTTTTATATCGCCAATTTCTAGGAAGGTCATTTAAATATAACAATTTATTTTGGATGTAATAAAATATGATCTTTATTAATTTCATACTTGGGTATTCCACCAGAGTGCAAAATACTACAGCAAGAACAATAATACAGCTACGGAGCCCTGGAAAAAACATTAACTACTGCACCACTTAATATCTTTTTGCATCTTGAGTTTTCATCAGACGAATTGCTAAAGACAGTCAGAAGGCAGTGGATGTGTGTATCTTTAAAATAAGGAAATAACTACTGAATTCGTATGTGCTCTACAGCATTTGTGAGAGAGCAGGTTTGAGAGGCCCATCTGTCCCTGCCTGGTCAGGAATTGTATCCCATCTTGACAACCAACAGCACAAAACCTCAAATCCAGTTCTGAACACACACAACTGCTGTTTTGAAGTGGAACCAAGGGCACTCCACGCTGAAGGGCCAAGGCCCAGATTTGCAGATGTGCAGGGGTGTGTGGGGCTGCTCCTCTTGAGAACAACCAGGGTCTCCCTGCTCTGCGTCCTCCACCTCCTTCTCCTCGGCAGGCCTCGCTGATCCCTTTTCAGGATGCTTCGCATTCCTTTAGCAGTACTACAGACATTCCGCCCTCACCGAAGCACTCTCTGATATGGTCCAAAAGTCTCATGGGGGTGCTAAATTTGGTGTTTCTCTGCAGCAGAGACAATATTACCAGAAAGTATTTTATTTGCATTAGAGGAGATGACTAAGTTCGCCACCGCAGACACGTTCAACCTCTGCAGCCCCACAGACCTGTCAAGAAGTCTCACAGCAGGAGACTGTTGCAACCTGACTGAGATAATTACGGCCTAGGGCAGTCTTTCCATGAGATGGAGTAACATAGGAAAAAAAGTACAAGTGAGATTTCTGGAATTCTGAACCAAGATGAGGAATTGGAAGAAAATGGGACAGAGCTGGCCTAAGGGACTTCACCTTCTCCCGAGGACAGCTTTAGCTTTCTGCGAAACAGTAGTTACAATTGTCCAGGTCTGGCTCCAAAACTACATATTCCAAAGGTTCTCAGTTGAAGCATATAATTCATATTCTTAAAGGAACACAAGGCCCTGAAAACCCATTTAAAAATGGTTGTGCTCTACATTTCCCATTAAATCAGTATGATCCACATTGTTAAACACAGTGAACTCTTATGAAAACATAGTAGAAAATTCCTACCCTAAAATCTGTATTTGAATTTCCAATTGTCTTTTTTTTGACGTTTATAATATTTATGTATCTTTGAAAGTCAATTACTGACCTTTGTCTGAAGCTGAAAAAAAATAAGCCTCAAATCACCCGGAACATGCAGAAACATTAGACTGTAAAATCTGGTTTTAGAGTCATAAAGCTCACCTTAAAAACTGAGAAACGGGTGAGATTGTCTCTCTATTCTAACACTACTTCCACTGTAGGGATTCCAAAGGGCAGTGGGTCATCCTCCTCCAGCACCTGCTTGAAACATGCTCTCTGCTCTTGCCCGGGGACGCTCAGCACGTGTGTGCACACACTACATACGGCACTTGCTGATTAAGCTCCCGGCTTGCTTTTACTTTAGATGGCAAGGTTCGATCCTGTTTCTATGGTGTTAATGTGGATTTAGATGCTGGATTTCAATGAGAGCAAGATCAGACTCCCTGCTACGGTAAGACTGGGAGCTAATCCCCAGGATCAAAATAAAGGAGCCACATTCCTGAGTTCAATCCAATTCAGCAGGTTTTATTTATTTTTCCATGTGGGCCATGGTGGACCCATTTACTGCTTCGCATATGGGCCAGTTGGGATTTTTCCCCTCTCTCCTCTTACAGCAGGGCAGAGGGTTTATTTCAGGCCTATAAAAACTGTTTCTTTCCATGTATTTGCTCAGCACTTATCTGCTGGTCCTCCAGTTCTGATCCAAGGCCTACGTGCTCTCAATATACAAAGAACAATAGTCCAGGAACAGCTATCAGCACAAGAAAATGGAAAAAAAATCAAAATGACTGGAGTGTTATTGCAGTGGCTCCCCTCATTCGCTCTAATGTTAGGCGTAATTTCAGAAGACACTGGTGCTGGGGTAAGTGCTGACCTGCCCAATGACGAGAATGTGTGCAAAGCCAAATCCACACTCTAAGAGGCACCTGAACTAGATAGGTATGTGCTACTGAAAGCAGCAGTTATGTACCCTGACCCTAAAAGTCACATTTAAAATACGTATGGGCGCATCCTTTCTGGCCTTGAGTCCTTCCCTCTCCAGCTTCACACACTCCTCTGTACCTCCATCCCTCTTGTCCATTGCTCCTGTGACTCAACCCTCCCTCTTCATCCGAGAGTGCCACTCCCTTGTGTTGTTGAGTCATGTACGTGTGGGGGCCTGCTTTTGAGACAGGCAGTATGCCCTCACTCCTTTTAGTTGAGTTTAGTTTACTTCTTTCAACTTCTGGACACCTCTTCTAACATTTGTATGCACTGGAGAAAATGTACAAAGACACACAGTAAGCAGCCCATCAAGAAAATGGGTTTCAGTGTGAATTAAATAATGGAATAGTCAATGTTCTTATACAGGAAGACAAGAGAGATCAAGAAAGTAAAGAAGGAGGCTTCATACTACCTCTAATGGCCCCAAGTAAACCAACTAAACTAAAGGGATCTGCAGACTGAAAAGGTGCTGAAGACCCAGCATCCGCACTATATACATTGCTGGTGCTTCACTTTGGGCTAACTCTAGTCTGACTCCATGGACTGCATATTCAAGTAGCTGTTGGAGAACGTTAGGTGCCTTGCGAAGGCTCATCTTCTGGTTTAGCTTCATCAAAAAAAAATCCAGTCTACATGATGTGAACTGTTGAGCAGTATGTAAGGACCATGATGAAATTTGCTTCAAAAAATATATTTCTTATCCAAACGAAAATGCTAATGTATTGGCATTTTATCCCTCCACACACAGTTTTCCTGCCAAACCAGTCTCAGTCCCCTCTTCTGCCTCTACATGCAGTTGATTTTCCCCCTTCCACTCTGAGCATTTCTGACTCCATTTCCCACCCCAGATTCCTTATCTAATCTCAGTCTTCCACTCTTCCTCTTTTTCCTTGACCCAATGTATCTGTACATCCAGTCCTACGTCCTCCTTCCACCCCATCACAGCTGTCTTTCCTTCACTGTATGAACATGTCAAATTTTTCTGTTCAGCTAGTCTCATCTTTCGCTCTCTTCTTGTGATCTCATCACCCCCGGTGACGATGTCTGAAGCTCAGGACAGTCAAACTCTCCAGAAAATAACCTGTGTAATGCCTGAAAGGGAGGCAGGAGGGATTGTAGAGTTCATCCGATGGTACCCATGCAGCACTGCGGCAAAGCAGAACACAAGAGCAACCTCAGGGAGACTTTTTAATAGCTGAGATGTGAAAGAGCAGCATCTATTCTAACACATAGGATCTCTTTGCAGTTAGGACATGTAAAAAGCTAGAGAACACTTATAGAATCACAGAATGGTTTGGGTTGGAAGGGACCTTAAAGCCCATCTAGTTCCACCCCCCCTGCCATGGGCAGGGACACCTTCCACTAGACCAGGTTGCTCCAAGCCTCATCCAGCCTGGCCTTGGACACTCCCAGGGATGGGGCATCCACAGCTTCTCTGGGCAACCTGTCCC